TTTGGTTTCCATGGTTTTCTAAATGTTTTATATCTTCTTGGCCTATATCGTCTGTTAAACTTATTGTATTTATAATATCTTTTCTTTCTATATGGTTCATGACAACCAAATTCTTGTGGCACACTTTCTAATTGTTTACAACATCTTGAATCGACTTTAGTCATTTCATGATGTTCTATTTTTTCTTATACAAAGTTCATCTCTATATTCTTTTGCATATTTTTCTAAAATTCCTAAAGTTTTTTCTTCTCTTGTTTCATTAATCTTCTTCTGAATATATTTATTCATTTCATATTTAAGTTTACTTTCAACAATTTCTATTAATCCTGATCGATCCTTAATTTTATAAAAATTTTCTCTTACTTGACAGAAGAAATTTTCGATATAACATATATTACATAACTTCATGTTAGTTAGAAATCTAACTACCTTATCTTTTTTAGTTTCTTTTGACTCTTGTCCTGTAATTCCTAAAAATTCCCTTAATAGATTTTTTGCTAATTCTCTTAAAGCTGTTATTTTATATTCTGCTCCTGTTTCCGAACCACTGGCTTCGAGATTAAGTAGGATTTGAGTATTTTCTAGATAGTCAAATAATATTCCTGATGTTTTATACCTTATATAATTGGAAAAATCTATTAATGTCATTCCATTTATCATTGAATCATTAGTTTGGATTAGTAATTTTAATTGATTAGTCCAAGTGACTATTAAATCTTCTGCATTAGTTGCACAATCTATATTTAGTATTCCATTAGATAGATTTCTTTCTTTTTCTAAATATGCTGGTGGTATATTTTTCTTAATTTTTTCTTGATGATAACTATAATCATTTCTGTATATAAAATCTCTAAAACTGCTTTCTACGTAATTATTTTGTAAACTAGATGCTTCATTATTGTTTGTTCTAGGCCGCTTTGGCGATAATGGTGGTGTTGTATGAGGTTTTTGATCAGTCATATTAAATGTTGGTTCGTCTTCATCTTCACTATCTATTCCGTAGATTATTCCTTGTTTATCCTCATCATCTAT